CATACATTCATACATACATACACACATACATACATACATACATACATATTTACATACAAATACCTACATATTTTCTAGCGGTGATTTTGCTTGAGCAGTTGAAAAAGGTCGCTCACACTGTTTGTGGTCTATAAATCGAAAAATATCTTGCTTGAGTTGAGAACGGTTAGGCACATTTTTAAATTGTAGATAGTACGTCAACTGCATCTTAGCGTCACATTACTTTTACAGGCCTTTTGTTGGTTTTAATCGGTTTCATTATAAGACCGCTCGAAACCGTTTAAAAACTGCTCAAATCTTGCTTGAAAGATTGTTCAAAAACCACCGAAAGAAATGAGCGGTTTTTGAGAGGTTTTTTAAGCAAGATTTGAGCGGTTTGAGCGGTTTTTCCAAAAAAAAAAACACCCAAACCCACCCAAACCGCTCATACCGCTCAAACTGCTCAAATCTTGCTGAAAAACCTCTCAGACCGCTCATATCTTGAGCGGTTTATGAGCGGGATCTCGACCCGGGGGGGGTTCTATGTTAAACCGACCTTAAACCTACAACCGGTTTAGTAATTTTTGACCGTTTAAAATCGTTTTGGGTCTGGTTTGATTTGACTGTTTTTCTGTTTTCTATTGGGCTGTTTTGTAAATTCATAGATTATTTAAACATAGATTATTAAGACAAATCTAAATAAATGAGAAAATAAACAGCAATTGCGAGTTTATTTATTGAGTTCATTGACATATGAAGATTGAAACTTGCATCTCTCAAATTAACTAACTTTTTCACCTTCAACTTTAAGAATTTAAGTTAAACTTTCAATATCTTTCTAAATAGTTGTAAACCAGTTCTTTTTCCGGCTAATAAGATGATCATTTTCCTCAAATTGAACTTTGTGATTTACTTTTTGGCATTGGTTCTTCCGAGTATCACATCTGCTTACTGTGACCTTGTCAATCAATGCCGCCCTGTGTCCCCGACTGAGTGGGTGGGGCCATCCCAATTGGAGGGGGTGTGGCAAGTGGTCATGTCCTCTGACCCCTCTGAAGACCAGTGCACTTCGCTGGACTTCAATCAAGTTAACACTAATGATATGAATGCAGGTTGGTATTTGAAAACCCCTTTTTTGAAAAATTGAATCAAAAAATGCATTTTTCAGCGCTAGCTTCTCACTCAAAATTATTATAAACATTGGCGCCAAAAACTCCTTTGAAAAGTTTTAGGGTTGTTCAGCCAAAAAGTATATCCTAAAATAGTGCCATGGGGTTAGTTGGTCAAAGGTCTAGTTCATGTTTTGATTTCGATTGAAAAAAAAACAGAATAAATTATAAACTTTTTATTCAATTGAGACGGTCGGTTTATAAAAACTCTTGGGTAGACAAAAGGTTTCGAGGTTTTTTTTTCAAAGAAGATTATTTCGACTCAAAATCATCAATTTTGGTTGGCAAATTGGAGCGAAAAATTTTCTTTTCTTTGGAACAACGCCGTGCAGAAAAATTGGTTCAGCTTTGGATTTCAGAAACAGTTTAAAAAAATTTTCAGCGAAAACCATTGATTGTAAATTTTCAAAAAGTTTCAGGTCTTAAATTTGAAGTCAAATTGGAACAATCTAAGCCAACTCTTCACGGAAAAAATAAGCAATCGCTCGAAACAATTAAAAGCTTCCCAGATAGTCCGTTCGGAACTTTCGTTTCAACTCAAGTTCGGAGCTACAAAAAGACAAAAACTCATAAGATTGACCCCTCATTGAAGCGAAACGCAGAGACTCCATTTCCAAACTTCATTGTTTTGCACATGGATTCAAATATCTTGCTCGTTTATCGTTGCGATCAAATAAACTCGACCTCGAAAAAGGATAAACTCCAGGTTATGTCACGAGTTGTCGAAGTTTGGGATGAGGATGAAGTGAACAAAATAATTGAGAGGAAAGGTTTCATAAAAGACTATCTTTATGAAGTACAGCAAACCCAGTGTCGTGGCAGAAAGCTTCGTCGTCATATGAACCGAAATATGGGTGAAGTTAGACAATCAATTAAGAATTTAATTAGATATAACTACAATTCTAATCCTGCTAGTGGCTACGTTCGGATGAATAAAGCTGAAACTGACCGCAGATTGAAAGCAAATGTTGTTTCTAATTTACTTCCGGCTACCAATTTGGGAATAAATAACTACAAGCCAGACCAAGAGGTCGTTTATGGTCTCTGTATTCAGCTGGCAATGAATGTTGCTGATGTTTACAACTGTCTGATAGGTTACTATTCAAAGTTCAACTCAGATAATTAGTGATTAACCTAAATGCTAAATATAAAAATTTGACAAACAAAAATGTTTTTCTTTTGTAAGGATCGATCGTGGTTGCTCAGGAGACTAACAATTAGCAAGTTTCTTTGAGGTGCAAAGAAAAAAGACTGTATAATTTGACGAACTTTGAGTGGGTTTTTTCATTCGGTGAACTCAATCATTCTTTATACTGATTTTACTCACCGAGACTATTTTTCGCGACTAAAAGCTTATTTCATCCCAATAACTGTTTCGTACTAGCGCCCCTAGTGTGGTGTAAGTGAGATAAATGCATTAGCACAAAATCTCGGACCAATGTGAACAATTTCGCTAAATTGATTAAGGCTGCATAAAGTTCAATTTGTATTGGTTTCGCATTTTCGCACATTGAGCGACGCGAAATTTCAACCAGTCAGAATGCAGTATTTTTTTGGGAAAATAAAAAACCAGACTGCTCGTATCGGGGCAAAGCCCTGAACGTTTTGAGTGCCCTTTAAAGTTTATGGAGCAGCGTTCGCTGTAGAAAAAGTTGATGAAACTTTCAACAAAAAAGTTTTGAATTTTTTTTTTGCGAAAATTATCCCACATGCTATGTTCAGTACAAAATAGTACATTTAGCATAAAGCTAAACATTAAATAGACCAAATAGCATGCCTCAATTCAATTTGGAACGATTTCCAAGACGGATTAAATCTCCGCTTACGGGTTAATAACACAAAATATATCGCGCGTTAGTTGTCCCAAATTGGCATTCTTTACACCCCCATAACTTTACAAAATATGATCACAGGTTAAATATGTTTTTTTAATAAACTTGAGCCCAAGACAATAATAACTTTTAGCTGATATATAAAACCTAAAACTTCCGTCGAAAAAGGCTAGCTAAGCAGTCGTAATTTGTCCGGAGAAAAAAGCCCAAATATTCCGCCACTTTCTTCAGAAGTCGGAATAAAAATCAAAATGCGTAAAAAATTGATCGCTTATTTTGCCGCTTACGCGTTATTAGCGCAAAAAATATTGAGCGTTAATTGTCCCAAATTGGCAATCTATAAACCCCCACAACTTTACGAAAAATGATCACAAGTAAAATATCTTTTCAATTTTGAGCTCAAGACAACAATAACTTTCGAAGGATATAAAAAGTTCAGTCAAAATTGACTAGCTATCCAATAAAATGTTTAGGTCGCCTTTTATTTGTTTATGGAGAAGAAAGTTCACTTGGTCGAGCGGGGGTTTGCTGAGATTGTTCAAATGGCTGAAAATCTCAATGATCACAACACATATTCTTCAGTACTATCTCGTCACAGAACTGTACAATCGTTTATCGCTGCTCAAACGCTTGTTGCGGACCTTAGCAACATCAAGCCCAAATTTTGAAACAAATTTTTTGAAAAAATTTTTAAAATCAACTCTAAATAGAAAGCTGAGATAAAATTCGGATGAAAAAAAGTTTCGTGGCAGATGATTGACCTTCAAATGTTTTTCTTTTGTAAGGATCGATCGTGGTTGCTCAGGAGACTAACAATTAGCAAGTTTCTTTGAGGTGCAAAGAAAAAAGACTGTATAATTTGACGAACTTTGAGTGGGTTTTTTCATTCGGTGAACTCAATCATTCTTTATACTGATTTTACTCACCGAGACTATTTTTCGCGACTAAAAGCTTATTTCATCCCAATAACTGTTTCGTACTAGCGCCCCTAGTGTGGTGTAAGTGAGATAAATGCATTAGCACAAAATCTCGGACCAATGTGAACAATTTCGCTAAATTGATTAAGGCTGCATAAAGTTCAATTTGTATTGGTTTCGCATTTTCGCACATTGAGCGACGCGAAATTTCAACCAGTCAGAATGCAGTATTTTTTTGGGAAAATAAAAAACCAGACTGCTCGTATCGGGGCAAAGCCCTGAACGTTTTGAGTGCCCTTTAAAGTTTATGGAGCAGCGTTCGCTGTAGAAAAAGTTGATGAAACTTTCAACAAAAAAGTTTTGAATTTTTTTTTTTGCGAAAATTATCCCACATGCTATGTTCAGTACAAAATAGTACATTTAGCATAAAGCTAAACATTAAATAGACCAAATAGCATGCCTCAATTCAATTTGGAACGATTTCCAAGACGGATTAAATCTCCGCTTACGGGTTAATAACACAAAATATATCGCGCGTTAGTTGTCCCAAATTGGCATTCTTTACACCCCCATAACTTTACAAAATATGATCACAGGTTAAATATGTTTTTTTAATAAACTTGAGCCCAAGACAATAATAACTTTTAGCTGATATATAAAACCTAAAACTTCCGTCGAAAAAGGCTAGCTAAGCAGTCGTAATTTGTCCGGAGAAAAAAGCCCAAATATTCCGCCACTTTCTTCAGAAGTCGGAATAAAAATCAAAATGCGTAAAAAATTGATCGCTTATTTTGCCGCTTACGCGTTATTAGCGCAAAAAATATTGCGCGTTAATTGTCCCAAATTGGCAATCTATAAACCCCCACAACTTTACGAAAAATGATCACAAGTAAAATATCTTTTCAATTTTGAGCTCAAGACAACAATAACTTTCGAAGGATATAAAAAGTTCAGTCAAAATTGACTAGCTATCCAATAAAATGTTTAGGTCGCCTTTTATTTGTTTATGGAGAAGAAAGTTCACTTGGTCGAGCGGGGGTTTGCTGAGATTGTTCAAATGGCTGAAAATCTCAATGATCACAACACATATTCTTCAGTACTATCTCGTCACAGAACTGTACAATCGTTTATCGCTGCTCAAACGCTTGTTGCGGACCTTAGCAACATCAAACCCAAATTTTGAAACAAATTTTTTGAAAAAATTTTTAAAATCAACTCTAAATAGAAAGCTGAGATAAAATTCGGATGAAAAAAAGTTTCGTGGCAGATGATTGACCTTCAAGTTTGCTTGAATTTCAAACTTTTCTCTCTGCGTACAGAAAACCGCTCAAATTTTAACGAATGAAAAAATGAATCTTTCATAGCCAAATAACGTAAATTAGTTTTTGATCTGCCCACGCATTTTTTTGAAAAACAATCTAGGCGAAAAAGAGGCCAACACGACCCAAAATAAAATAAAAAGCATTTAAATATGAGAATGAAAAAAACGAACATTCTTCAGGACGCGGTAGATGATTTGATCAAAAACAACAACAGAAAAATAACAAAAATGTTTAAAGCAGTTTCAGAGATATGAGGAAAGTGTTTGCTCCAGTTGAATGCGAAAGTGATATAGAAACTCGATGAACAAACAAAAAAGAGAAAAAATTTTGCAGAGCACAAGAGGACAAAGATGGGAACAAACTAGAGACGACGCTTCGCCTGCAAATAAAAGAGTAAACACAGTTGCAAGTCTGGAAAAAAAGACAATTTCTTAAAAAGTCAAAGTGCTAATCGGACTGAGCGAATTTTGAGTTATTTTTTTAGGACAACTGCGTGGGTAATTTTTTAACTCTAATTTTGACTATAAAATAGCTCAGAAACATTGACAACTAAACAAAACATTTGACAACCCGCACTGACAAAAAATAATTACATTAAATTTGAGTATGAAATATTCGAAAAAAAAAGTGAGTTCAAATTGATTTCCAGTCGCCTTAAAACGATTTAATACTATCCAGTAGCGGATTTAGGGGGGGATTCGACTACCTGCCGATCCAAAGGGTCCCTTCTTTGTACTAATTTGAGATATCTTTTTTCGTGAGGTACCCTAACATTTTTCTAAGGGCGCCTTTGGCGCCAAAATAAATTAATTTTTAAGGGTAGCGCGCGTTATTTGGTCAACGCGGTTTTTTGGTCAAAATTTTCCAAAAGGTGCCTAAAAACGCCTTTTTTTCGCCTGTTTTTTCAAGAATTTGACTGCGGAGCTAAAAGTTTTGTTAAAATGGGGTACTTATACTAACTTGAGTGAGCTCAGAAAATCACATTGGTCGACCTAAAAAAAGTCGACAAAATTTTCGAAGTTTTTTTGAGGATCTGCCCCCCACTCCTCGAGAAATTCCTAGATCCGCCCCTGATGTTATCACTAAAGCAGTTAGAGTTGCAACCTTTTGCGCAGACTATCGCGACTCATTTTCAGAAACAGCCGCTACTCATATCAAACTAAACTGTAACAAAAACTTCTAATTAAACCTTGCAAATTTAACGACTACCGCGACCTAAATTTGATGTCTTTAGCCATCGTCAGCGATAACAAAAAACTGTTTAGATTAAAAATGTTGCTCTCCGAAAAAAATAAATGGCTCGGCTTTTGAAAAATTTGAAACTTTGAAAGATTGCTGCGGGCATTCTTTCGGAACAGTCATAAAAATTCATGTTTATCAAAAAAAATAGTCCGAGTTTTTCTCACTCGCAAATATCAACCCCAATTTATAAAATGAACATCATAAAGCTTACAGAGACATTTAGCTATCACGAAAAGTAATCATGAAAATTAAGAACTAAAGTAAATACATTATAATATGACTCCTGAAAAACATTTCGCTGAAAACAATATCGAAAACCAAACAAAATTTTGATGAAAAACACTTTTCTTACTTTTTCAAAATTGTGATTAAAGCCCTTCGCAGGCTGAAATCAAACAAGGTCAAAAAGCATAAAATTCTTTTAAAAAACTAACTCTCAGCCAAGCATGGAGAATGGAAAATTTTTATCGAACATATTTCGATAGCCCAGCTTGTTCGCACTGCAAGTGATATCATTTTCTTAAACTTCCTTTTTTGAAAAATAGTTTTTTATGCTGATTGACTGATTTAGAGTGAGTTCACGATTGATTTTATTTGGAGGTTTTTAATCAACAAATGTTTTTTCTTAAAACATTCGCTATTGTTTTTTATATTAAGGAGAAGATTGAATACATTAATAAAAAAAACATCAAACCAAAACAAGGATAACCGGTTACGATGCATGTAGCACAAAATATTCTAACTATGGCCTTAAAAACAGGGTTTGGGTTTTTTCAGTGGTCATCTTTTGCAGCTTGAATTAAACTTCTAGAG